ATAGCTCCCACTAAGGAGAAGACAATAAAAGAAAACATTGAAGACATGTGGGGAAAATTAAAAATACAGTCTTGGATGCAGCAGACCAAAGTATACAGAAAGAAAAACTGTAAACATAGAAAACCATGAATAACAAACGAAATATTACAAATTATGAAGAGGAGACGGATGGTAAAATACAAAAAACTAACAAGATACAAAGAACTCAACAAGGAAATTGAGAAAAAAATAAATGTAGCTAAGGAAGAGTGGATGAAAGAAAAATGTAAAGAGGTAGATTTGCAAATGAAGCATAAAGATAGAGAACTACACAGAAAGGTTCAATAAGTAGCTGGAATATGGAAACCCCAAACACTTCGATTGTAACAAACAAGAAAAACCAAATGGAATTAGACCCTGAAAACAGAAAGAAATATAGTAGCAATATCTTAAAGATTATTGGATTCAGAGCCGGAATGGGGACCAGAGAGGCCTTGTTTTCATTACAAGTACTGCTGCAGAAGTGTTACGACCAACAAAAGGATGTCTTTCTATGTTTTGTAGACTTTGAAAAGGCATTTGATCGCGTACACCATAATAAAATGTTAAATTCCTTGCAGAGCATCAACTTGGATAGTAAAGATCTCCGATTAATTAAGAACTTATATTGGAGGCAGAGTGCCAAGATTAGGATCGACGATCATACATCTAGAAATATTAGTATAAATAAAGGAGTAAGGCAAGGATGCATACTATCCCCTATGCTGTTCAATCTTTACTCGGAACTACTATTCAAGCAAGCCTTGGAAAACCTTTCCACAGGAATAAAAATTAATGGAGAACCAATATCTAGCATAAGATATGCAGATGACACTGTCCTACTGGCTGATACAGACACAAACTTACAGAGGGTTATAGACCACCTTAAGGATGCTTGTCGAGAGTTTGGAATGAAGATCAACGAAAAAAAAAAACAAAAGTAATGGTGATCCAAAGAAAACAGAATATCCCCTTACCTATAAAAATAAATGGGAATATTTTAGAACAGGTAAACCAATACAAATACCTTGGCTGTTGGATTAATTGCAAGCTGGACCCAGAACAAGAAATTAAAGCGAGAATTGCTCAAGCTAGGGATAGTTTCTTTAAGATGCGCGTTCTATTCTGCGATACACATATAAATATTAAATTGAGATTAAAACTTGTAAAATGTTTTATCTGGTCTGTTCTTCTCTACGGAGTCGAAACGTGGACTTTAAAAATAAAGAGCCTGAATAGAATCGAGGCATTTGAAATGTGGGTGTACCGTAGAATTTTAAAAATTCCTTGGACAGCACGAAAAACAAATGAAGAAGTACTAGCTAGACTCAATTTAGAAAAAGAACTATTGAGAACAGTCAAAAGAAGAAAAACCAGTTATTTAGGGCATTTGTTGCGCAACGAGAAATACTACATCCCTCAGTTGATAATAAAAGGCAAAATAGAAGGAAAGCGAGGAATTGGAAGAAAAAAATTGTCCTGGTTACGCAATATCAGAAACTGGACAGGACTTGGATTTGAGGAACTCTTAAGAGCAGCTGAAGATAGACAAACGTTTGCCACCATAACCGCTAACCTCAATTGATGGAGACGGCACTTGAAGAAGAAGAATCTTAAAGATTTGTTTGGTGATCAGAGAACAGAAGAGCCCCCACAAATAGATACAGATGGAAAATTAAACATTCTCACCAAAGAAGTTTTGCAGACAATAAAAGATGTAAAGAACAACAAGGCACCCAATGAATACCTAATAACAGCCGAACATTTTAAACACCTAAGTGATAATGCTGTCAGGAAATTAACATACCTCTGCAACATTATATATGAACATGGCATAATACCGCATGACTGGCTAACATCCACATATATAGCTCTTCCTAAAAAACAAAAAGCAAGGAAATGTGAAGACCATCGAACTGTATCCCTAATGAGTCATTCCGCTAAGATTTTTATGTGAATAATTTATAACCGAATTCACAATAAGTGTGAAGAATACCTGAGTCATTCTCAATATGGTTTTAGAAAGGGTACAGGCAATAGAGAAGCAATTATGGGATTGACACTGATGGCAGAAAGGTATCTTGAGATTCAAAAAGCGCTGTACGTGTGCTTTGCCGATCATAGAAAGTACTTCGACTGCATAAAATACAGAAAATTGATTGAGGTACTAAAAGAAGTAGGATTGGACGGACACGACATAGCTATCATAAGTAATACATACTGGAACCACAAAGGATGCGTTCGAACAGAGAACATAACGGAAACACCAAGTACATCAACATAGAACGAGGAGTGCGTCAAGGGTGCATTTTGCCCCCCCCCATTATTTAATGTATATGCCGAACATATAATTAGAGCTTCTCTTGAAGATCGCCCTGAAGGTGCCAGAGTCAATGGAATTATCATTAACAATATAAGATATGCCTATGACACCGTAGTATTAGCAGAAACAGAAAACCAACTAAAAATATTGATGAATATATCATAAGGAAGTCACAGGCTGGGCCTGGACATTAACTTTTCCAAAACCAAAATTCTGGTGTTCCACAAAAACCCCCATGAACAAGTTACACCTAACATACAAATAAATGGTATCACTCATCAGAGTTCCCAAAGCTTCATATACCTAGGCAGAGAGCTAAATAGTCAACTAGACCATTCAAAAGAAATTAGAAGACGCATTGAAAGAACAAGATCTGGTTTCATGAATATGCGTAAAATGCTGTGTAACCCAACAGTTCAAAAGATCCGTGTGTGTCAAAGGGTGAAGGAGCGTGCTATGTTGGGCGTTTCACTACGAGACAAGATCCCAAATCGCCAGCTACGACAATGAACAGGAGTGGCTGATGCAGTAGAGAGAGTAGCAACACTGAAATGGAACTGGGTAGGTCATGTGACTCGAATGACAGATAATAGATGGACAAGGCGGATACTGGAATGGAGACCAAGAGATGATGCTTACCGAAGCAGAGGTCGTCCACCAACACGTTGGACTGACGATCTAAAACGTTGTCATAGTAATTGGATGCGAGGCACAAGATCGAAATAGATGGAAAATTATGAGGGGGATCTATGTCCAGCAGTGGATAAGCGAAGATTGAATGATGCTCTGTAACCCCAAGCTATCAGTCTCAATAAGATTGAGAACACAAAGATATGTGTGGTCTCTATTACTATATGGCTGTGAGACCTGGACATTAAAACAGTATGACGTCAACAAATTAAATTCATTTGAAATGTGAATGCACCCATGCCCTCATATGGTCAATACTATCTTGGAATTTGAGCAGCTCCAGGTAATATTAGAAGGCATGCTTGAAGGTAAAAGGGGCATAGGACGAAAGAAAAAAATCTTGGCTACGAAACATCAGAGATTTGACCCACACAAGAAGAAATTAATTAATTCATCAATCCCAGAACAGAGAGAAATTTGTCGTATTGATCGCCAACCTCAACAGAGAAGGCACTTAGGAGGAGGATGATGTGAATCGTGAGAGACATGTATGGGGACTAGTGTTAGGTGTGGGAGAGATTGATAAATTTCATGTGAAAGTAAGATTGTATCATGACTTATTTGTTCTCATCAGCGTTGGATCATTTAACAGGGAAACTACAAGATAACAGTTCCTCGTGTTTATTACAGAGTGGGATAGATGAAGTGGACGAGAGCGAATGGAGTAATGTGTGACAAAGATACCAATGAAACTGAATAGTAAACTACGGTTTGTTAGAATAGAGCGCAGCACACAGCATACAACGTACAGCAGAATTTGTTGTACTCGACTCACGGCAGTTTTGGGTGAGTCGGTTTGTTAGATTAGTTCGGATACATATATAGTCGCGCTCAAAACAAGTTTAGAAATTATTTTCACGTTTGTTCTCTTAAAGGTTGTACGTTTAGAAAAAGGAATTTTAGCAAACAACGCAACGCAATAATTTTATTACTCCCAGAAGAAGAGGAGGAAGAAGAGTTGATAATGTCAAATCTAAATAAAAGAAATAAAAACGTAAACTAAATTTTTTCATGTCGTAATACAGAAGGTGCTTTTAAATTAACAGTTGAAAGAAGATTGTTTCAAAACGATGAAAAATTTCGAAAATATTTTAGATTTTCCAGGGTTTTATTTGGAACTCTTACAATTTATATTACTATAAAACCCTAAAACAGAAGACATCACCTAATTATTACAATAATAACTATATAAAAATATAATTATAATTTCGGTATAAATATGTACGATGTGAATTCAGCTGAACGATTGCGTCCAAATCAAATCGCAATTGATTCCAGCGCACACCGTCGACGTACACTGCTATCGCTCTGCAGCGCGCTCAACTAAGCAGAATCTAACAAACCGTTATCATAGAGAACCATTCCTTTAATTCTGGCAAACGTGCGCGGCGTTCGACAGACTGTGAGTTATGCGTCGTGCACTGTTCTAAAAAACCATAGCATTAGGCAGTTAACAGACGAAAGAGGAACAACGAATGTATGTAGCAAAAATGAAAATGCCTAGATGGATAAGTGAAGTGACAAAAAAGGATAGAATTAAGAGTACTTTAGGGGAAGTATAGGGGTGGCATCAATTCATGCCAAGATAAGAGAGCATATATTGAAATCGTTCTAGCATGTTCAACGCTGAGAAGCTAATCAACCAATACGAAGAATTGGTGATTTGCAAGTTCCTGGGAGGAGCAGAAAAGGAAGACCAAAGAACCTGAGCGGAGACACTAAGGCAGGACATACCGATAAAGGTGATTGTTATTGGTATGACCCAAGATGGAGAAATGTAATTTGAGAAGTCGATTCCGAGTAGGGATAAAGGTAAATGGAATAATTATGAACTACTGTCAGGAAGTTTGCATATATAAAGGATAGAACAAAAAAAAATCAAAACCAAACAGAGAGAAAACTCTTCCAATCATAAAAACAAGAAAAGCAAGTAACATGAGACATCTGACTTAAAATAATATGCACTTACCTGCAAATTTGTGCATAAGCTGAGAATATTCGGCACAGGTCTCTTTTAGTTTATTGAATGGTATATCTGTAGGCCCAAACGAATTTTTAAATTTAATTAAAGCGCTGCTAGTTTTGACAGATATAAAAGTATCATTAATGTACGCATGAAAATCCTTAACGAATCTATCTTCCGGTCCTAGTGGTTTACGTTGGCTGACATATGTAAAGGCTTCGTCAGCTTTCAACTTGGAAAACATGTATACTGGTTCATATACTTTTCTATTTATCATTTCTAAAATTAATCCATGTATTTTTTCATATTCTTCCGAAGTTAATCTGATCTTTACCCATGTTCTAAAATGAAGATATACATTAATGTAAATAAATGGTTCAAGATGGATTCATAGTGAATTGTATCATCAAGGCTATAGCATATATGTGCATATGCAAAATATGAGTCACACTCCAAAATTAGTGTTATTTAAAATGCGAATCAATTTAAGTATCTTTTTAACTTGTTTTTTACTTGTTTGTACTGTTTTTTTGAGGTTACAAACCGCCATCACTTAAATCATTTATTTTCAAACGAATATCAAATGCTTCAATAAAGTGATGACCAATTTAACGAACGTATTAGTTTGGCCAAAGTTCATTGACTATACGCCATACATATATAAAAATACATACATATATAACAATTATTTATTTTCAAACGAATACCAATTGCTTACTAAATCCTATACATTTTTGAAGTTTACTTTATTGACACAGGCCTCACATGGGCAGCATTTGGCAAACAGCCATATTCTAAAAAGTACAATTCCTGTGTGTCTCAAAAAAAAAAGGTTTATAATCAACCTAGTGATATAAATCAACTTTCATCAAATAAAGGCAGATATCGAGCGCAGTTTATTCTTGCCCAAGTACTTTCGTTCTTAGAGCATCTTCAGGGACATTTCGTCAAATTTGGCCTATCCAACAATATATGGAGAATGTCATAAAGATTAAAAATTATACATTAACACAACACGACACAAGGGCAGTTTAAAATTTGTAACGACGTTCTGATCTTCCAACAGTTCCAACGAAGTGGGATTGGGAGCGGCTATTTAAGGCGAGCGACTGGCGGAATTAGATAGTCTTGTGGCTAGCGCTGTAGGCTCCATGACTCGCTGGTATAGTGAACCTGCGAGCCAACCCGGATAGAGAGATTTCCGTATTGAGGATCGTACTCTGTTCTTAACTAAGCAGAACCCATCGATATCATGAATTGAACGTTACCGTGGATCCGCACAACCGAATATTTTGTTTGCGAGTGCGTTCGGAGCTTCCGGTGAATTGAGGTGGAAGCGAGTATAAGTCTGCGTGCGATCGACTTCGCGTATTTCATTTCTTTGTTAGTAATAATAATTTTTTTTCTTTTACAGACGTTTACCGGGGAGTTCACTCATCGCGGGATCCAGACGGGGATATAGAATACATTTTATTTTTATTTATTGTATATACGTTAAATTAATAGATTTATTTTTATTTTCATCCTGTGTTTTACTGAGTCTGTCGTCTCGAAAGAGCTACCCGTTACAATTTTTGTAAAAATAACGAGGCTAAATATTGGTGGTCGTCAGAGGAGAGTTCTCCAACAATATATTAAGAATTCTCTCTCCTGATGCCAACAAATATGTAGCTTCGTCATTTTTAAAAGCTTTAAACTGTTTGTCCTTGTGTCGTTTTAATGTTTATGACATTCTCAATATATTGTTGGATAGGCCAAATTTGAGGAAATGTCAATGAAGATGCTCTAGGAGCGAAAGTACTTAGGTAAGGTTAATAAATAAACAGTGCTCGATATCTGTCTTCATTTGCTTAAAGCTTATAATCAATGTGTTTTGTCAGACTTTAACACTGACGCAAAAATCCGCTAACAAACTCAGTTACACAACTAGTCATGGAATATCAGGAGTTTAAGACGTCATTGGAAGAATCACGACGCTTAAGTGGAACTGAGCACTTAGCTAGAGCACAGAGACGGTGGACAAGATGAATCATGGAATGGAGGCCCAGAAACTGTAAAAGAAGCCAAGGACGACTACCGACTAGGCTAGACTAGGACTGACGACGTAAAAAGAGTAGCGGGAAACTGGCTACAAACGGCACAGTATACAGAATACTGGAAAGAACTGAGGGAGGCCAATGTCCAACAATTGGCTAATTGATGATGATGACTTTGGTGACCATTGTTTAAATTTTATTTATTATTTATAACATTTTAATGTTAAATTTGGTCGGCATTTTTGCGTCACAAACCCTGTTCTGTGTTGCCAAGGTGAATTGTAGCTAACTGAACCATTAAAACCGAAGTAGTTTCTTACAATCACTGCACATGCTTTTTACATTCAGTAATTTGCCTTTAGTCTATCACATCCAGAAAAATTACAAATAATTTAAAATGGACCACCTAGCTCCATTTTAAATATTAATATATTGTGTTCAGCCTTTTAACACGAGTGTATAGAATTAATACTAGTATTTTGGCTTTCAGGAACAAACTAAACTTTGTGTGTAAAGAGGTGATGCTGAATGCATTTTTTGATATAGAGAGCATCCGACAACACCTGTCACAAAGCAATTACAAGGGCGATTCGCCTAAAAGGAATAGAGGAAACAAACTGCAGATATATAGACTGCATTCTGAGGAGCTGTGTGATGTACTCAACTTTACTGAGGGATAAAACAGTATCTATTTATATACGACGATCTATATATAGTATATATAGTATCTATTTATATATTCCATGATTTTACATATAAATATAGCAAGTCATAAAAACAGAATGTAAAAACATTAAGAAAAAAACAAACTCATATCATTAACACACACATCATGGTTTTTAACTACTAGTACTTAGCACATGTAGCCTGATGCTGCCCTCAGGGACGAGTCTTATCCCCTCTCTTGTGGAATTTGATCATACATGGGCTGATATCTAGGCCCAGCAACGAAAGACATCATCTCCTGGGTTACGCATATGACCTGGTCATCTTAGCCCACAGCAAATTTAATGGCACAGTCAGAGGTATATATATATATATATATATATATATATATATATATATATATATATATATATATATATATATATATATATAAGGATCACTCAGACGAGTGGTGGGTTCTTATATCGGTCTCTAGATGGAGAAATAAAAGACAAAGTTGATAGGCTACTTTATCTATTTTGAAGACGTTTCGCTTTCGAGTTTTGAAAGCATCATCAGTTCATCTAAAAAAGTACAATATGAGAACCACACAATCATGGAAACGATGTTAATTGTTACCTTAAAAAGACATGTAGCAGTCAATGTTATTAACAATAATGTGAATGAAACTAAGTAAATGGACATAATACGCTGATCTTGTATAAACAATTAAGTAACTAACAACATATATGAACTTATAAAATTAGCACAGCAAATGACCATGTGGTCTAAAGTAAATTAAATGTTATTTAATGTTAATTAGTGAGCAAGAACCAAGAAAATCATAGATAACTTCCAACTATTTTATGATTATTAAGCTTTAATTTTAACTTTAGGTAACATTATAAGTGATATTAATAAAAATTATAAAAGTAGTGTAAATGAAGTTACCGATCAAAGCCCTACAAGTGTCGCCGGAAAAATGGCGTTAGATGAACCGGAACGAACTAAACCGCGAAAAGACAGCCAACCTTGAGGTCAAAATGCTTTTGACAGATCAGCAAGGTGGAGGTACCAACCCAAATAATTGGGCGGTCAATTTAAAAGTTTAAATGAGTTTGGATGACTACCCGGTTGTAAAAGACAAAACAGTGAAAGAAACTGGTATTGTAATAGCAACTCCTCTCACTAATCAGCCTAGATTTACAAACAGGAGATTTTCATTCAACCTCATATGTATGTAATAACGTTAATCATTATGGCTAGTTAATCAGCCACAGGTGGTTAACGACTCATTAATTTCCAACAGCTCAAGGTTCATGTACTTGGAACTGTAATTTGCAAAGGATTCTATGAATCAATTACATTATTTGTATTATTTTATTTAAGTATAAATTGTTCACACTAATCTAAGTAATCAGTGTATGAAAATGCAATGTAAGTTGCATATGTAATAATAAGTTAAGTAAAGAATATTTAATTATTTTATTTAGTTATTTTATGTATTTTATTTCTATTTTATGTATATAAATTATTTCATGAAAAATGGAAAAAGGTTCAAGTAGTACACCTAATATGACATTTAATATATTGAAAAGATCAAGAAGCCTAATTCTGCAAAATTAAAGCATGATATATTTGGCTCAAGTTACTTATGTCAGTTCTCTTATTTAAAGCATTAGGGTGTTTTAATATTGAACACATTTCCAAAAACTGTCTTTTAGCTAGATTGCGTTCAGTGGCAAGGATCTTAACTTCATTGAAATCCACTTCATGTTTGGTATTTATCGCGTGTTGTGCCAGGGCACAAGTGTGTTTTGATAAATTAATGTCACTACGATGTGAAGTGAGAATGAAATTTATATACATAAAATAGAAATAAAATACATAAAATAACTAAATAAAATAATTAAATATTCTTTACTTAACTTATTATTACATATGCAACTTACATTGCATTTTCATACACTGATTACTTAGATTAGTGTGAACAATTTATACTTAAATAAAATAATACAAATAATGTAATTGATTCATAGAATCCTTTGCAAATTACAGTTCCAAGTACATGAACCTTGGGCTGTTGGAAATTAATGAGTCGTTAACCACCTGTGGCTGATTAACTAGCCATAATGATTAACGTTATTACATACATATGAGGTTGAATGAAAATCTCCTGTTTGTAAATCTAGGCTGATTAGTGAGAGGAGTTGCTATTACAATACCAGTTTCTTTCACTGTTTTGTCTTTTACAACCGGGTAGTCATCCAAACTCATTTAAACTTTTAAATCGACCGCCCAATTATTTGGGTTGGTACCTCCACCTTGCTGATCTGTCAAAAGCATTTTGACCTCAAGGTTGGCTGTCTTTTCGCGGTTTAGTTCGTTCCGGTTCATCTAACGCCATTTTTCCGGCGACACTTGTAGGGCTTTGATCGGTAACTTCATTTACACTACTTTTATAATTTTTATTAATATCACTTATAATGCTACCTAAAGTTAAAATCAAAGCTTAATAATCATAAAATAGTTGGAAGTTATCTATGATTTTCTTGGTTCTTGCTCACTAATTAACATTAAATAACATTTAATGTACTTTAGACCACATGGTCATTTGCTGTGCTAATTTTATCAGTTCATATATGTTGTTAGTTACTTAA